ATACCGCTTCATGGACGCAAATTTACATGGTCTAATCTGCAAGACTCACCAACATTGGTTGTGGATAGAGTAGTATGTTACATTGATCGGGAACACTCTTTTTCGGATCGCCTCCTACAAAGTGCGGCATCGAAGATTTCGATCATTGTCCTCGATCCTTGGGTTAACAGATCGTAAAGTCGGGAAACCTAGGTTCCATTTTGAACCTTTTGGTCCAAGCAGGATGATTTTCGTGGTGTAGTTGAGACGGCTTGGAATTCTATTTTCATTGTTTCACCCTTCGAGACCCTATCAAGGAAATTCAGAGCAACCGCCAAGGGATCTGCAGAGTTGGAGCCAAAACAAGATTGGGCACGTCAATAGTCACTTGGACTAGCAAGAAAGATCTTACATATTTGGAGATCGCCCAGATAACACAGAGCTGTCACCTAGTGAGAGGTGGCTATATAATCAATTAAAAAAACACTCCTCGGCTTTATCCTCTCTACAACGAACAATTGCAAGATGTCGCTCTCTTGATTAATTGGCTTAGTGATGGTGATGCCAACACCGCCTTTATTTCACCTCCATGCCCGCACCGTAAGAACAAGAATTTCATTGCTCATTGATTCAAGGGGACCAAGTGATTACAGATCATGATGGCAAGGCAACAACAATGTATAACTTTTACAATGATCCGATTGGGACAAGTGTGGATAGAAACGGACAATTAATCTTGATGAGCTAAACATCACAGCCCATGAGCTTGGTCGACTTGATGCTCCTTTCTCTCGAGGATGAAGTGCGGAGCACTATCCGCCAACCGCCGAGTAATAAAGCGCCAGGACTCGATGGATTTACTGGTCAGTTCTATCAGACTTCTTTGGTCAATTATAAAACAAGACATTATGAACGCAGCTTTTCCGCCATTGGCGTGCAGAAAATTCAGAAACCCGAAGCTCTTAATACAACTTATATTACCTTGCTGCCCAAAAGGGATGACGCAAGGAATGTCAAGGATTTTCGGCCTATAAGCCTAGTGCATAGTTTTGCAAAATTGATCACAAAAATCCTTGCAAATAGGCTGGCTTCTCATCCGAACCAGATGGTCTCAACTACTCAAAGTGCCTTCATAAAAAGAGATTCATCCAGACAACTTCATGCTTGTCCAACAGACGGCAAGGTTTCTCCAACACCGTAAATGCCCCGGGTTCTCATTAAACTGGATATCATGAAAGCTTTTGATTGGGTGTCCCGCCATTCCTCGTAGAAGTCATGAAGAAGATGGGTTTTGGTGTAATTTGGTGCGACATAATTTGTGGACTCCTAGCATCTTCATCAACACACAGTCATACTAAATGGTGTCCCCGGTGAGATAATTTCTCACAAATGAGGACTACGACAAGGTGATCCATTGTCTCCCATGCTCTTTATATTGGTGATGGATGTACTTGCTCGTATGGTGGCAAAGGCCTCAACCGAGGGACTTCTGCAGGCCCTTGCAACTCGGGCTTTGTCTCATCGATTTCCTTGCACGCGGATGATGTTGTTTTATTCCTTCGACCCACTTCCAAAGTGACATCAATTTGATCCTAGACATTCGCAACTTTTTGGTGAAGCATCCGGTCTTAAAACCAATTTATAGAAAAGCAAAGTGCTTATCCCATCCAATGCTCGAGACAGATATTATGGTGTTTGCAAGATAGCTTGCCGTGTGCAATTCTGGATTTCCCATGCAAGTATCTTGGTATACCCTTGTCTATGCATAAATTAACTAGAGCACAAATCCAAACCGATAATTGATAGAATTGCAGACTTGCTACGGCTAGAAAGCGGACTTGATCTCCGAAATGGGAGAAGAATATGGTCCAATTTGTACTCACATTAACCTTGGTCTATTTTGGCAATGGCCCTAGACCTTCCAAAGATGGGCTCTAAAGGCAATAAATAAAATAAGAAGGGATTTCTCTGGAAGGGACGCAAAGATGTGAAAGGTGGGCATTGTCTTGTGGCATGGCCCAAGGTTTGCCGACCACCGATCTTGGAGGGCTTGGAATATCCGATTTGCAAAAAGGTGGGATGGGCACTTAGAATGAGATGGTCGTGGCTGTAAAAACCGAGCCCAATAAACCATGGTCGGTCTTTCCTATACAGTTCATCATTCAAGAAGAGCTCTCTTCTCACGGCAATCATTCCAGAGGTGGGTGATGGTGCTCGCACATTATTCGGAAAGATAGATGGATCAATGGACAACAAGTGGGCTGACCTTGCTCCACAAATTTTTGCCATTGTTAGCAAAAAGAAGAGCTAATAAGAGGACCATCCTGGAAGCCCTTACTAACCATGGTTGGATTGCGGATATCCAAGGAGCTCATCATTGTGGGAATCATCATTGAATTCTTAGCGCTATGGGATATTCTCTCTGAGGTGGTTTACAGTAGCTGGAGTGGAGGATGCTCATATTTGGCGTCCATCGACATCAGGACAATATTCGCAAAATCTGCATATGAGGGTTTCTTCATTGGCTCCATCGTATTCAGGCCTCGGAGCGTATTTGGAAAACTTGGGCCCCTGTGAAAATGCCGCTTCTTTATGTGGTTGGTAGCACACAACAAATGTTGGACAACAGACAGGCTGGCACGCCGAGGTCTCCCACATCCTGCTCGCTGCCCCCACTGTGGACAAGAAGAAGAAACTATCAATCATCTACTAGTCTCATGTGTGTTTGCACGCGAATTTTGGTTTGTTTTGCTGTGAAGAGTGGGTCTACAGGCCCTTTCGCCACAAGATGAACCCTCCTTCGATGATTGGTGGGCCAAAGCAGAGTCTAGAACGAATGGTTCACACAAAAAAAGGACTCAACTCGCTTATCATCCTTGGTGCATGGACAATTTGGAACCATCGCAACCGGTGTGTTTTCGATGGGACTCCTCCTAACCTGGCTGGAGCATTGCTGCTCACAAGTGAGGAACAACGTTTCTAGAAGCTCGCAAAGGCTCAGGGAAGCTCCTTCCCTTCTCTTGAGCCTGTAGATAGCCAGTAGGATCTTTTGTGGAGGTGAAGTCGTTTCCTATATTAGTAAAAGACGCGTGTGTTTGTCTAACAATTTAGGAGTGTGAGTGTGTTGTAAAGACTCTTGCCCTTTTTTTTTCTTAATATAAAGATACACAGTTCCCTGCGTGTTCGAGGAAACAAAACAAAAACGGCCGCCTGCTTCCGCCAAAGTATCCGTCTGCCCCCCGGCCACACGCAGCAAAACTTTTACAGGGAGTGCTAGCCTAATACCTGTCATGATGTGAATAACCAGTCAAATTTCTCAAAGCCTTCCAAGGCCAGTATTTAATGCAGAAACATAGCAGTTATATATACACATATATATGGTATCTTAAAGCTAATAAATATTTTGAAATCATAGTGGATCCAATATATATTTATCTTAGAGTAAATCACACGGTTGTATCAGTTTGATCTAACAAATTGCAAAACGTGCAAACAAATACGTGAATTTGTCGAATGTGTGCATGTACAGTAATAAGTAAACTATTGAGGGTATTTTGTTACATTGTCAGTATATAATTTTTCACGTACGAATGGTTTAAATTAATAAAACTCTTTATAAAAAAATATTTTGAATAGGACGAAGTATACTCTTACAAATGGATAATCTATTAGGTGCCATTTGATTGGGGTAATGTTAGCTGCCTTTGACAAGCTAATTCCTGCTTAAAAGTACTATAGAAACTACTACTCCATATATGTTATATGTATTTGTACAAGGAATTTTACAACAAGAGCTCTCTCACCTTTTGGTTTTTGTTTTGGGAGGTCAATCACATATTTCCAACAGTGTGAGCCTAGAATCCCGCCACCGCGCCGCGCCACCACCTATTTACATCTGTGGTGTCTCCTCGAATAATGTATGGTGGGCCACCGATTGCCAAATCAATCCGCACCAGGCCTAGGTTTTTGACTCCAGAGGTGTTGTTGGGCTTTTTCAGGAGAAAATGGAAATTTTTTATTTTAATATTTTGCAAAAATATATGGCCTAACAAAAAAATTGCAAATCTATACGTATACCGCCGTTTGAAATGGCGGAAGGTGGACTGTAGCAAGCTACCGCCAGTTGAACCGGCGGTAAGTTTCCTCCTCTGGGCACTACACTTTCAAAAAATCATAACTAATTCATATGAACTCGGATGGAGATAAATATTATATGAAAATTATAGATTTCGACGAGATCTATAACTTTGTCGTTCAAACTTTTTTCATTTGGTATCATCTTGGTACTCAAATAATCAATACAACTTACATTCAAAAAATCATAACTAATTCAGATGAACTCACATACAGATAAGTTTTATATAAAAATTGTAGCTGTTACATTGGTGCCATCTTTGTGGAACCACCTGGTAGGGTTGCGGCCATTTTTTTTAAAAAAATACTAAAATAAAAAATATAAAAAATTCAACTCTTGTTGGGCTTTTTCAGGAGAAAAAAAATACGGCTAGAGCCCACCGTACATTTTTTTTTAGCAACTGTGTATCTGTTTATGAAAAGACAGACTACTACACCACACAAACTCACACACACCATATATACACAGACCCTACAACGGCACTGTTAAACTGAGGAAAACCCCCGGTGGGAAATCGTGGGTCGAGCAGAGCTCGAACCCACAACCGGCCGCTGCACCACCGGCAGCGTTGCCACTCGAGCTACGGCTCGTTCCCCGCCCACCATACATCTGTATGAAACTGAAAAGGAGATCCATCCTCATCGCCAAACCCTAGCGGCGGCGCGGTGTGGTGTGGAATGGATTGACGAGGTTTGGTAGGAGTCCGCCGTTATCCCCAAGCTTCGTTGTTCTTCCCTTTCCAACTTGGTCACCTCCTCCTCCTCCCACCTCCCTCCTCAGCCCCTGTCCAATTCGATCCAATCGCCGTCTCCGGCTCCAATCTCCGATGTCCCGAAGGATGCCCACTAGAAGAATCGCCCGTCAGTTCAGAAGGGAGAAGGATGCGATGGATTCTGACGATTTTGACAGGGGCCTCGTCGCGGACTCCTCTCTGGATCCGCCTACCCACGGCGGCAATGGCGAAGGCCCCGGTCCCCAAATGCCAGGCCCGGTCCTCCTCGAGATCACGACCCACATCGAGGAGCGCGGGAACGCCACCACCGCCTACTCCAGGACGAGGGACGGCCACATCATACAGGTCACCTACTGGCCCGCCCACCCGCCGGTCGTCTCCTATTTCTCTGTCTGCTGCCCTGATCTGGAGCCCGCCGACTTCCCCAGGGAGCCCGTCGTCATGGCCATGGAGGACGACCTCGTCCTCCTCCGCGTAGTCCTGGGTCCTCGATCCGCAATCTTGGAGCCCGACAGGTTTGATTACTTCGTCTACCAGGCCGGCCAGCCGCCGTCGCTCCGTCTGATCGAGCACCCCGGCCCCTCCCGCCTATTTGGTGACTACCATGCTGGCTTCCTGCGTTGCCAAAGTGTCGATGGTGACGGTGACTTCTACATTATCGCTGCGCTCTGTTACGCAATGGTACCCGGACATTATGATCTCCACACTTTCGACTCCAGGACTCAAGTTTGGGACACCAAGACGGCATTGCTGCCTGAACAGCAACAACGGGGCGAACATTCTTCACATGTGAACAGCAAGGTCATTGTGGTTGGAGGAGAAATGGGCACCATGGGCTGGATTGATCTTTGTCAGGGTATCCTCTTCTGCGATGTCCTCCGCGACAAGCCTATGCTCCGCTATGTAACATTGCCGGCACCACTCGATCCTGACAGGAAGTTGCAGGGCTGCCCGAGGACAGCCCGGGACATCGCCGTCATCAAAGGTCGCATCAAGTATGTCGAGTTTCAAAGGCACATTATACCGGGCTCAGCCATCAACGGGAACTACACTGCAAATGGTTGGACAACCGTCACATGGAGCAGGAAGCCTACTACTGAGGATCATTGGCAACAGGACTGCAGGGTTCATGCTTCGCAGATCTCTGTAAAAGACAACCCAGTGGGATTCGAATTGCTGCCTAAGTTTTTTGACGATCAAGGGACTCCTCTGCCGACCTTGGATAGACTCCACACAGGTCATCCCACACTTAGCTTGAATGATGATAATGTTGTTTACCTCATGACCAAGATTCACTACCGCGACACCAAAGCATGGGTGCTTGCTGTTGATATCAGAAACAGGACACTAAAAGGAGCCGGTGAGTTTGTCCTACGGAGAACCCACGGCATGAGTTTTGCCTATATGTGCAGCAGGATTGGCAAACATCTGCAGATTGCTCCAGGTTATTTACTTTACTAATGCATATCTAATTGCGTGATCGGAACCTTTCTATGACAATGCTGCCAATCACCCCGACCTTTCATTCTACTGTCCTACCACATCATTTAGATTCTACTGTCCTATCATTTAGATGTTTGCCGTGTGTTCTTTGTTGGAGGCTTATATCTGTTTAATATGTGTAACAAAAATCTCATAAAGTTAAGGGGCAAGCTGGGATTCCCAGGTTCATTTGGGATTGCCTGTTGCTTGTGCATGCAGAATTTGACACTGACTTTCGAGATCAAATGTTTCCTGTCTGTGCTTTATATAGCAATAAAATAGCCACACAGTGGATGGAATATATGAAAACTGCATCGTTGTGCTTTGACAGAAAGAGGACATCACATGGGTGCCATTGCATTCTAGAATTACAATTGGTTTGATATAGTAGCATAGTAAGAACAGCTGAATCTTAGCAGTGATCTTGGACAGAAATACTAGGGATGTGGGCTGTTAATAAGTTGTTTTTCTACTAGTTTCTTTCCCCTTTACTAAACTATGGGCTACTTTGATAGATGCAGGTACAAAGGACAACCTGAATTGATCAGAGATGCGCAGATGCAGGTACAAAGGGCAACCTGAATTGATCAGGGATGCGTATTCTTTCTCAAGAAGCAATCTGAAATCCCCTGAATTGATCAGGGTTGTCAATGCCGGCATTCTTTCTCAAGAAGCAATCTGAAATCCCTTGAAAATGATTTGCTATCCTGCGATGATAAACAAAAGCACCATGATGCTAGTCTGGAATCCCTTCAATTGATTTGGTAACGTTGGATTATGGACTAAATCCATCATGATGCTGAAGTGGAAGGAGCAGGTGTGGAATCTTTAGTTGGGGTTGATATGGAGCTACAATGAGTTACTGTTGTGTGTGTGTGATCCCCTATCTCACCACCCCAACTATTGGGTTTTTCTCTCCCGTTTGATGGTTGTATGTCTCTGTCTGTGTTTGTGCGAGTTCTATTTAGCTTTAAATGTTACTGTGTTTGCGTGAGTTCTATTTAGCTTCTGATTCATATCCTGTTATTTATCAAAGAGATCATCTAAGTGCTGTGATATATTTCTGCTGTTGTCTCGATCCTTGTTTAGTGAGTTACTACTATTCACATGTCAGATCTACAACATGTTTATCAATGTTTTCATCCCCTTCTTTTTGGAAAGAAAGTGTTTTCATCGGCTTGCCAGTGGTTTATGCCATTTTATCTTTGGTCAGAGTGGGCAGTTCAATTTTTATGCTCCCTGATTTTGACATGCTGCGTTTTGAAATGTTTGTTTCATTGAACGATGAAATAGTCAGAAATGAAGTGGCTGAATGGCCCGTAATATATTGCTGGTTGAAATAATTTCCCACGAATTCCAGAATTTGCTTTGTGTGACGGTTTATAGGGTTGTGGACGCCGGGTAGCGCTTCTGCGACTCTGGGTTCTGGGCGGCATTGGGCAGGGTGACACGGTTGTGAAGCAGGGGCAAGACATGGAAGACGAGGCAGCCGAAGAGAAAGAGATGGCACTATTCCATGGGCAAAAGGTTCCCAGCTAAAAGCACTTCATACCAATGAGAGTTTAAACTTGTTTACCTCCATTATTCTCGTTGGATGGTGAGACCACGAAAGGCCGCCGGGTGATCTGGAACATGGCTTCCGCTTGGTCTTGTCAAAGCTCTCGTCCGGAAGGAAAGCACCTCAGTTTGACAAAGGGGCTGCATTGACAGCAATATCGAATGAAATTGATTGTTGGGATAATGCATGCAAATATAACTAAGGTTACGCTGATGGTTCATGTGTTTTCATGATTAAAGTGTTCCATGAGATAGATAATTCAAAACAAACAAATATAATGCATGTTTCCTGGTGAACGCTAATCAACACACCAACCATATAGAGAATTAGAGATTATACAGAATTAAACACACCAACCATATATTAGAGTCGCAGTATTCACCTCAACCCCTATGAGCAGAGTGAGGAGCATCTGAAGTTGGTGCTTCTCTCACGAATGTTAGAGTTGAATTGCAAGTTGACAGTACTGTTCCAAATTGGCACTTTTCTCTCCTTTTCTTTTTCCTCAAATATGCAGGATGCAGCTGCGCGCTTGGAAGTGTCAAACAACATTAGAAGACCACTCAGATTGGGTGGCATGGCAAGCTCTGTGCAAACCGGCGGGGAGGGGATTGAGGTGACATGACTGACCAAAACCGAGACGAGGAACGAAATAAAATCGAGAAGAGAAGAGAGCGTGGATCGATCAGTACCTTGGAGAGCTCGGATCTGGTCGTGGTGGCAGAGCGTGGAGCAGTACTACTCCGGCGATCCGTCTTGGTGACAAAACCGTGTGGAGAGAGGATCGGTGGCGGAGGATTTTAGTTTTTACTCCCTCCCTTTCTCTTGTCGCTAAGAAATGACGAGCGGTGGTGGAGGATGAACGGACCGGACCCCGACGCCGGCGGCGAGGCGGAAGGGGCGCGGCGGAGGCGGTGGGGAGGAAAACTTGGCGGATAAGAAATGCGGTGGGGGTAGGTACGTAGCGTAGCCGTATAGGAATCTCTCGGTCTCGGCTGGCTGTGCACGTGCATATACCAAAATTCTTATTTGACGAGGTCCGCGGCTGACATGTGGGGTCAGCTCCGGAACGCCACATCCCAAGCAAAGCATCCCACGGCCCACGAGCCTTCCTTCCACCACGCCGGCCACCAATGACTCCCCTTTTCCTTTTTTCCAATCCTCCGAGAGCTCACGGCCGCCGGATCTGGTGGCAACACCCGCACTTGTGGTTTCGAACATCGCTCGGGGTTTCGAACACAAGCATCGATCACTTGTGTCAGAAAATTCGATTGTTTAATTTGTGCCAAAAATCAATTACAACGACATCTCAAGTGAACTGAATGGAGGAGGAGGAATTCCAGCAGTAGAAGTCGGAGCGATCTTTCTTTCTTATCTTTTAAGCAGAAAGATAATGGAGAGAGGATTAGACCTTCTTCTAAATCGAAAGATACGTAGCTTTCCTGCGTATTCACGAAAAAAGTAGAGAGGTTTAGACAACCAAAAAACTACTTTTACTATTGCTACAACTGATGCCGGAGACCGTTTTCCTGTTTATAAGGCGTGGTATGACATGGCACGATCTCCTAAATTAGACTTTGACTATTTATTTAATTTATATTATATTATTTATGGTTATAAACTTATAATCATTGGAAAGTATATGTGATTACAAATCCAACCATGTCAAATTTACATTATCAAAATAAAAAATTGTTAACTAAATTATTAGTCAAATATTATAAACTTTGAATCTTGATCCGACGGAGGGAGTACTTGTCAAGCTATGGCATGACCTACAGACTCAACGCTTAGAAATTCCAGGGATTCTCCAGGAGCTTAAATCTCTTTGTTCTGTTTTTACTTCCTTTGCAATTTGTTTCTCTAGTCGTTCTTGTAATAGGGCGACGCATGTGTCGTACATAAATCTATGGGCCCATCAGAAGGTTTGGACACATCTGACATGGATATTATGGCACAGGACGGCGTAGTCTATGTGGGAAAACAAGAACTAGTCGAGGATTAGGAAAAGTACTCGTAGCAATAAGAGTAGAACTCGTCTAGTTGAATCCGGCTAGTTTTCTTGTAACCAACCAACCTATAATCCTGCCCCCGGCATATAAGGTGAGGCAGGGACCCCCTCCAAAGCAATTCAATCCAACCAACACATATGATGTAGGGTATTACGCTATTCAGCGGTCTGAACCTATTTAAATCGTGTGTTAGTATTTACCTTCAAGTTCCTGATCTCGACGAGCCCCACTAACCAATACACTACCTTGGGCACCCCCCTCGGTAGGTTGCCAGGTCTAAACACCGACAGCTGGCGCGCCACGACCCCCGACCTCTGAGGTCGAGGACCCCCTCCATTTCTCAACATTGTCACCCGGTCCCTAGCCTATATAAAGGGAACCGGACCTTCCTTCTCTCTCGCAATTTCACTCACACACACCCACGCAACGCATGAATGCTTGCTTGCTTGCAAGCACCCCGTTGTAAGCCCAGTGCACTTGATCCGAGAAACACGGCTCCTGTCGAAACTAGACGTAGAGATCTTCCCGAACCAGTATAATTCCTTGTCTCTTGTGTGGTAGCTATTGGAAATGAGGAGAGCGCGGTGTACAATCATTAGTCGTGAAAGGATCAAGATGACCAAGAGGGGGTGAATTGGGCTAACTCTAAATTTCTTTACAATAATTAAATCCTACGGTTAGCCCAATTAACCCCTTGTGCCTATAAAGTGTTTCTAATTGTTATACCGCACAAAAGACTTGCAACCTATGTTCTAATCCTACTCTAGCATGGCAATTCTAAGAATGTAAATGATAAGAATTGAATTGCTCAAAGTAAATGCTTAAAGTAAAGTGAGAAGGAGGAACGCGACGATGTTTTGCCGAGGTATTGGAGAGTCGCCACTCCCCACTAGTCCTCGTTGGAGCACCCGCGCAAGGGTGTAGCTCCCCCTTGATCCGTACAAGGATCAAGTGCTCTCTACGGGTTGATTCTTCGACACTCCGTCACGGTGAATCACCCACAACCGCTCATAACTTGAGTTAGGTCATCCATAAGCTCTCCGGATGATCCCCAAGCTCTCCAATCACCACCAAGCCGTCTAGGCGATGGCGATCACCAAGAGTAACAAGCACGAACTCTCACTTGACCACAACAAGCCTAGGGAGAAGGGTGGATGCACACTTTGCTACTCTTGATCTCACTAATGAGGGCTCTCTTTGGGATTCTCAAATCTCAATCACCTCACTAGGACCTTACTCTTCTTGGCACTCTCTAAGGTGTGTTTCAGCTGTTGGAATAAGCAAAAGTAACTCCACACACGAGTGGAGCTTCTATTTATAACATGGGCTGAAAAACGAACCGTTATGTGCCTCTGCGGGGTGACCGGATGCTCTGGTTAGTTCTCCCTGAAAACCAGTGATTACAGTGTGACCGGACGCTGCCAGCGTCCGGTCACGATTTTCCCTCTCTGGAACCTTACTGGGAACGACCGGACGCTGGACCTAAACGTTCGGTCACATGACCTTCCAGCGTCCGGTCTCACAGAACAATTTCACCTTGGTCAAATGAACTGACCGGACCCTGCACCAGCGTCCGGTCAAACCGGAGCCAGCGTCCGGTCAGTATTTGACCCTCCATTCACTTCCAACTCTCGATCATATGTGAATGAAGTTTGC